GAGCCGGAAGTGACATTTGCGTTTAACTTTGTCTGTGGACGCACTGTAGTTTGCTTGTAATGGACTGTGGAGGATATTTCGATGAAATAAAAGTAGTTAAGCTCGGGCTAGTACCGGAAGAGGTAACGTGATTTTTCATGGCTGAGATAACTTTTGACGTAGGCAGTGACCTCTTGCCCTTTGCAGTCCATTGTGAAGGATCAGCCCGTCATCTCATTCGATTCTAAATCAAAATTGAGACAGGGTGTCAGTTTTAAAATTAGTTCTGTTGTGCAGAAGAGGAATCAGGTTGTAAAACGGCCTGTAGGCTCGATTCTGAAGCCCTGATGTTGAGTGTCGAAACACGGCGTTTCATTCAGGCCACGATAGAATGGTATGTACCGCTGCCAAGGAGCGAGTTGATGGAATGTTCACTGTTATGACAGCAATGGCACACTATCGGCCTGTTGGAAAGGCAGAGTGATACAAAGAAACTTTACCGACTTTATCCTGTACGTTGCCCCAAAATGTTTTTGATGTGTTCAGTGCATTTTTCAATTTTGACACCGGAATTTTTGCGCGAGTGTGTTTTCATAGAACGTTAACGATTTATTGTTTTTAGAACAAAACAGGAAAGAGTCATACAGTGATCTGGAGAGCGTTGACTGTGTGCTGAGACATAGGCCACTGTTACACGTAATAATCTCGCTGTACTGGGTGGCCTTCACTGTCCCAAACTTGAATGTTAACACCATAAGTTTTGAATCAGCTTTACACGTCCAAGTACTTTTCACAAGACCCTGGTGTATTACTATATGTTTCCGTGTGATGCCCGTGCTAAATACGAAAACAAAAGAAATTTATTCGTATCTAGCAAGACCGTGGTAGTGAATATCAGTCATAAGTTTGTCATGAGTGCAACATTCGTAAAAATCATGCTGTATAACTACAAGATATTTCTATGAATGGACGTCAAGAAAGCATGTAGGTAATGAGTTATCAGGATACACAGGAAGAGAGATGTTTCAATATCGGAATTAAACTTGAATCATTTTTACTTCGGGATCGTGTATCGAGCTGTGTTAGTAAGTTTCTCGTGTCCGCCTTTTCAATTTCGGCCACAAGTAATATGAACACCAGCTGATCTATTTCGGTAAACGTCATATCAAAAGGTTTCATTGGAGATTGTTCTGCCATTGCACCTTTCCTGACGAACCCAGTTGAAAGAATGCTAACACAGGTTAGTAATGGCCGCGTTTGGTTCTGAGAGAGATTAAGTATGTGAAGAAAGAAATACAGCTTTTACGGAACACTTTAACCTGTTATTCTTAATATAAATGAAAGTCGTTACGAAAGGCCGAATGTGGTGCCTTTGGTTGGAGATAAATTAAAAAACCCGCAGTCTAACATTTCTGTCGTGAAGTCTTTTAGAAGATAATTTAAAGAAAGAGACCAGAGGTCTGAGGATGTTAATAGAATGGTTCTGACGGAAGTGGCTTGTAGCGAAGCGAATTGGATTGGTGGATTAAATGACGGAGTTAATGTTAAAATGTGTTTAGAAGTGTGCCGTTGATGTGATCGTACAGCACCAGTTCTTCTGATGAGGATTCGTGCAGCAAAAACATCCTGTCTCATTGCGAAGTCCTGTTTTAAAATAGTATGTAGTATTGTCTGCGTTTATTCCACAGAATTGAAGATGAAGTTCAGTCAAAACTTGTCACATTTCCTCCGCTTTATTATGGCCAAAGAATCTGTAATATTCAGTTCTGTGGAATGTCGAGACAAACATTTTAAGGAACATTTCAGATCCTCATGGTATCCAAGAAGGCATTCTTCTTCAAACATTGTTCTGTTTACGTAGAGTTTTCTTTAAAAAAAATCCTCTAACTTGAGGGTTTTTTCTTTTTGGAATTTTTAAGCCTTATTTAGGGCATAATGGCAAAATATTCTTCGTCTTATTGTTATCATCATCATCATCATCATCCGCTTTCTAAACCCTACCTCCCAGTAAGAGATCGGTCTCCTGTTGAGCCAATTTGTTTGGTGGTACATCCCGCCTCATCTTACCACTTTCATCCCCTTCCAGTCTGCACATTCTCCAGCCCCAGAAAAATTTCAATTCGTCTGGCGTCTTCACTTTTTTACTGCTGCGGCTTAAGAATGAGAGCGGTCGTAATCCAATCTTCCCCGCTGTAATACGAAAGGCTGCGAGCAGCGTAATAAACTAGCGAAACTAAAGACAATGCTGCAGGAACTTGGGACCGTCTGAAATGGCCTTCCTCTCCATGCCTCAGCCCACGACCGATGAGGCAAGTCGTGAAAAAAGCACCGCCACTCCTAGACAATAACACCCACTCTCGTCCATTCTATACGATCTGCCCGCTGTAAATGTGAAAATATGCCTGCAATATATATCACAGTGAAGTTGGGCACTACTACTCTGGGATAAATATTCATAAGTTTGTCAACAAAGATGGAAAATATTTTGCAAAATTACCAGCTATTCTGATTAATTCCTATACAGATTAAAATAAAAATGACCAAACCAGAACAGGAGACCTGCCTCCGAGTTGACCTTTATGGTTCGTTTTATATTTTCGTTAAACGTTTTGCTTAGGAATAGATTTTGTTTTTGAGGAAACTTGCTGGTGGTGCAGCAATGCAATTTGTTCTGGTCTTTAAATCGAGTTTATCTTGATGCCATAAATCAAACAATTTATTGAAATAGACAGAAATTTATTTAATGTACATGGTTGATACAGATATTATACCGACACTTTTCATCGTGATGTTTACGTAACTTAATGTTAATCATTTCCAGGCATATTTCGTGAGGCACTGCAGTCTTCAGTTGAGATGCGTACTGATAATTATATCATTACGCCTTATCTCATCACACATAATCGTTCGAGTTATAATTTACGTTGAGATAATAAAATAATCACTAACCATTACGTCACCAAACACCTGATGTAAACAAACGATATGACGTTTCGCCATTTTGCTTACGTAATACTAGATACACAGATTCGTCAAGTACACTGAATAACAAACACTTCTGTGCACTCGCACACAGCTATGTTTTACTATGTTTTCAAAGAGGATCGTTCTTCTCGCCGCCACTTCCGTTTGAAATAACGTAACAACCGCTAAATGTTTGACGTCCTACCTTATGAAGACTAAAAGCAATACTAGATGTCGTTTGTTTACAGTGCAAGGCAATGATCATATACATTTAGCCAGTAACAGTTTAACCAACATTGCATATATTTTCTGAAATATATGTTGCGTGAAATACGGCAGGTGTCACTAATATACGAACACGGACTTCATTCGATAGTAGGGTCGTTTGACTATAGGTGTCCGAAAACGAATCGATGCGTCATCTTGTGGCGATCTCTAGAAATAATATGAAAACATTTTTAATCGAGACTAGAGGTTTTTAAAACATTTTCACAACAACCATTCAAGTAATACAGTAACTAACAGAGATCATACATCCATACAAAATTTCAGTAATTTCCGTCCATCCATAATCTTGCTACGAAAATCGGATATAATGACGTCATCCGCGGTTGTTGTGGTCAACTTGGGTTAGGTTAGGTTAGTGGGGCATCTGCACAGAACGTGATTCGCACGTGTGTTTCGTTTACTTCACTGCGTGAACTTGGCATATTGCTGGCTGGCTCTAAGAATTGTGGAAATGTAAGGGAAATTATAATCCTGCAAAATTTACTTACGTTTGTAATATTTTTAATTCTCGCATAACTTCCAACGTGAATATTATTAATCAGGTTATAGTTTCGAATCAGCATCTGGTTGCGCGCAGGCTGATGACATAATTTTAATATTAGTTAACTTACATCAGTTTCAAATGCAGCATGATTTATACAAACATTACACCGACATACGAATAGTCACGCAGTCTGGTACCACAAAATTTATCTAAATATTATCCTCTCAACAGTGGTAATTTCTCCCATGTTGTCCCTTGAGATTTTGCAATAATAATACGTGTGTGTGTGTGTGTGTGCTTGTGGTCTTGTGTGCTGTATGTCCTGCCTGTGAAGTTGTTAATACTTTATGGCTGTAAATGTATTATGGTGTGGGCAGAAATCATGAGGATCATCTTGTATTTTTCTGGATTTTTTTTTCAGAACTAAGCAACAGTAAAAAACAGATTTTGCTTTGAAATTTATGTTCCAAAGCATAGAATTGATTTGGAATCTGGAGTACATTTTATTGTTATTGCCTACTGAATCAGTTTCACTTTGTAATCCCAGTATTTGTTTTGTTTTTGTGAACATTTTCCTGAACTGTAAGTTTTTGTATAATATTGTATTTATGGATATTTATTTTATGTTTGCAGACATGAGGGAGTATCTCATCCTAACTCCCAACAGCATACACAACAGCAGCTGCAACAACAGTTACAGCCAGGTGGTATGAGCACTCCAGAGGGCCGCTGTGGCACCCCGCCAGCCACAGGGAGCCCTGACCGCCTGGATAAAGCCACACTCAAGGTGCATCTCCCCAATGGTGGCTTCAATGTGGTTAAGTTTGGAGATGCCATTGATGTGAAGGTGAGGACTCACAGGCAGCTCGTCTAATTCTCCTGGTTTTCATGTTGTAAAGGTGCTTCGGTTTCCATATTTTTCATGTCCTTTATTAAACTATCATTTTTACCATTAATGTCATAAATGCCAAATAACATAATTAATTATAAACTATAAGTGTATCGGTCATGTGGGTTGTTCCAAATGATGATGGAAAGATAGTTTTGAATTGGGAATAGGGTGAAACCCAAATATAGAACCAGGAAGGAAATTGGTCCAATTTGAACAATGTTAGAAGTTTGAATAAACATGTAGGCCTTTCAGTTTTTATTAGTCTGTCCTGTGGTATATTTATAGCTGGACAGAAAAACAGAGTGAAGTATGAATAAAATGAAGATTTCTGTCTTCTGGGTTGTTGCGCTGTGTAGTCTGGTAGATGTTTACCAACGTTTCAGAGGTCATACTGCCTCCGTCATCAGGATATTCATCACCCTGATGACGGAGGCAGTATGACCTCTGAAACGTTGGTTAATATCGACCAGACTACACAGCGCAACAACCCAGAAGACGGAAATCTTCATATAATTTTTTGCATCAATACATTTTTTAACTCTTATTGTGTAGATCTAGATACCTCAGACATCCATTTCTCACTTCTCGCTTTTCTGTGCAAAATGTTGTGATTCCATCTGTAGTGGTTTTGGTACTGTGCTGTTTTGTATTCATTGTTTAAGGAATTGGATGGTTTTGTAGAAACCTCAAGGAAGTGAGATGCCATCTTGTCTCACTGCATCCCTTTAATTGTCATAACTTTACTGTAGACTTTGTGTAGATTGTTAGCGCTGATGATGTCTGTATGTCTGTTAGAGTTTTGGCAGCATTTAATTCTATGAAACTTGTATAAACACTACTGTTTTAACTTATTGAATATGCACAGAAGTGATACCAACATTTTGTAAAACGATATTAAATCAAAATGTAATTCAAACTACAACTGACTTTTGTATAAAGGGAATTAAACATCTGTACAGACATGTGAAGAATATGGTTGTATTGAACAAGAGAATGTAAATAGCATCTGAAAGTAAGTGATCTAGAAGGACCATTTCAAATTGTTTTTTTTATTCAAATTAAGTTACTATCTTTATTTGAGAAGGCTTTAAAATTAAGTGTTCCGCGCCATAGCTGCACGGTCTGAGGCATCATACTTCGGACCGGCGACATGGAATGCGCGCTGGTTTGAGTCTCGGGGGAAAGAAATTTCTCATGAGCTCTCGACCGGTGTATGGGACCAGTGCTAACCCAGCATTGTGAGGAAATTGGGGAGCTACAATTGGTAGCGTAATCCGGTCAGGAAAACTAGCAATGGCTGGGGGTTCGTCGTGCTGACCATACGTCACCCTATATCTGGTTGGATGATCGTTCACCTCTGCTTAGGCATGTGAACGTGAGGCCAGCAGCCA